CCACTGCCAGGTCGGCCTGGGCCCACTGCTCCCCTCGCCATGGCGGGCGGGCTTCTCCCCGCCATGGCGAGGGGAGCAGTGGTCCTCCTCCCTCTCCATGTGGGGCCCAGGCTCAGTCCTCCCCTCCTCCCACCATCACCATGTCGGGCTTGGTCCTCCTCCCCCTCTGTGTGGGGCCCAGGCCCACTCCTCCCCTCCTCCCACCACCACCATGGCACACCCACTATTCCTCCAACCTGCGTCGGACCACTCCTCCCCCTACCACCCCTGCACTGTCCCTCATCAGGCCCTGTAGGTGGCGACGATGGAAGAGGCGGGCTGAGGCCAGAGCTGTTGCCTGCCCCCCCGTGGCGTCCCAACCCTGATCCCTGCCCCACGTTGCTCCTGCCTCCAGGGAGCAGGGTGGGGGGAGGGCTAGGCCAGCTGTGCTGGCCTCACTCCCCCTCTGTCCCCTGTGTCCCCACCATCATGGCAGCACTCCACCAGCCACCAGGTCCTGTTGGAACACTTGTTTGCACTCTGATTGGCTGTTTGTCAGGCAACCAAAGCACAAATAAATCATTAGGGACAGACAGAGAGACTTAGGCTTTTATAATATTAGAATTTTAAAGTAGTTTGGAGGCCTACCAGTGCCTTAATCATTACAATAAAATACATTCTACATCCCTATATATTTTGGCATTCGATTTTGTTTTTTTTTTTTATCATGGAAAATCAGAGCTCCCACTGCCTCCTTTGCTCACCAGGATGAGGGTTCAGTTTAGGGCTGTCCCCTCCCCCCCCACTCCCCAGCTGCTTTGTGGCACTGAGCAGCCCTCACTTGCTGGTGCCTTGCCCCTGTCCATGCTGTTGCCCCTGACTCCCAAGTCATAGCCCCTCTAACCCTGCCAGTGCCCTTCACTCCTGGCCCACAGTCCCCCACCCCAGCTGTTTTGGTGCCCCTCACTCTGACCTGTAGCTCCCTGCCCCCCCAACCCTGCTGGTGCCCCTCCCTCCCAACCTACAGGCCCCTGCCTTCCTGCCAATGCCCCTCACTCCTGACCCACAGCCCCCTGGCACTGCTGCTGCCCCTCACTCCCAACCCCCAGCTCTTCACCTCCCTGCCCTTGCCAGTTCCCTTCACTCCCAACCTGCAGCCCTCCATCCCCATCAGTGCCCCTCACTTCTGACCCACAGCTCCCTGGCTCTGCTGGTGCCCCTAACTCCTAACCTACAGTCCTCCTACACCCCCAGCCCTGCAGCTGCCCATCCCCACTGGTGTCCCGCACTCCCAACCTACAGCCCCCTTCCTGCCTTGGCTCTGCCGATTCCCCTCCCATGCAACCTGCACCCCCTCCCCAGACTATTGCCCCTCACTCCTGACCTGCAGCCCCCTGGCCCTGCTCGTTCCCCTCACTCCCAGTTTGCAGCTCCCTGCCCCCACCAGTTCCCTTCACTCCCAACCTGCAGCCCTCCATCTCCATTGGTGCCCCTCCCGACCCACAGCTCCCTGGCCCTGCCCCTCACTCCTGACTTACACCCCCCCAAACCCTCAGCCCTGCAGGCACCCATCCCTGCTGGTGTCCCTCACTCCCAACCTACTGTCCCCTACCTGCCCTGGCTCTGGTGGTGCCCCTCACTCCTGACTTGGAATCCCCTACACCCCCAGCATCAGAGGGGGCCCCCAGCTGCCCTCATCCCCCCAGTGTGTGTGGTATGGGGATGTGCGGAGCAGGGGGTGTATGGGCATACACGATGCCATTGGCAATGTGTTAAGGAGGTATGGGGGGCACATGTCTTCCCAGATTTCTGTGCCAACAGCAGAGTGTGGGCCACAGGGCTGCAGCCTGACTGGACTGGCACAGGGCAGGAGCCACCTCTGTGGCCCAGTTGGTGGGATGGTATAGGAAGGCAGAGAGAGGGGCAGAGACTTGGTACTCCTGCTGCTGGGAGCCCCGTGCCAGTCATGCTGCCATGGCTGTCAAGATTTGGCATCCCCAGCCGCAGGGGTGAGGGTTGTTTTGCATGGGCAGTGGTAGAGCGAGCCCAGCCCCAGCATGGTATAGAGGGAGGAGGAGGGGATGCCTGTGGCACTACCCCACCCTGGACTAGGGCTCCCACACAGTTCCAGGCATCCCAGCCACACACCCCTGGGCAGTGTCCTCTGGCCACCCCACCTCGGCCCCTGCCCCTGAGAGCACAGGCACTGGCCCCTGGTGCCACCAGCCTGGCCACACAGCTCCCCACCACCCCTGAAGGAGCCCCCCTTTTCCTTCCCTCGCTGGAGGGGCAGGTGCCTCTGGGTGGACCCTGCTGGCAACAATATGGAGCTGGGCTTGCCAGTGGCACCAAGTGCTGCCTCAGATCCTCCAGCCCCAGCTCAGACCCAGCACCCAGACAACATCACCCACTGCCGGTAGGCACCCGCAGTGTGTCATGGGAACATACACATGCCTTCTCTCCCCCACACATGCCCCACATCCCCTCCCCACACATATCCCCTCCAAACACTCCTGCCACACATGCCCTACAACCCTCCTACCCCCCAAGCCCCCTCGACAATTCCCAAGCCCTGGCCCTCTAATCCCATAGGTTTACCTGTATCCGGCTGCCTAGTTTGCTTCCACCACCCTTCCTGTCTGTACTGTCAGCCGTGTGTGTGTGTACCTGCATGTGGCGGCCCCTGCCTCTCCCTGCTCCCCCCGGCTCCAAGCAGCTCCTTGCAGTCTGGAACTCTGCCAACCTGCAAGGGGAAACTCATTGTTTCCTGATTCAAAGGGGGAAAATCTAGGTTTTTCTCCTTTAAAGAGCAACATCTGCATTTTTCCCCTTTAAAGGGGAAAATCCATGTTTTTTTTAAATGGGAAACGGAAAACCCAGATCCCTGGTGATAAGTTACTCATCAGAACACAGTTTACCTCAGCTGGCAGACACAACAGAAAAAATGCCGGCTGTTTAGGAGCCTGCCAGAAGGAGTTCTTCAGTTGGCTGAAGGGACATCAAGCAGAGACTGGATTGCTGCAAGGAGAAATGGATGGGTTGATTCCAAATTGATTTCATTCATGATGTGCAATGTCCGACAGAAAGACACTGTGCATGCAGTTAAGTTTGTGTAAATTTTAACTTTTCTTTCAGTCCAGGATATTTCATACAGGGTGTCACCATTTAAAATGTCAAGAGGGTGAAGAGCAGAGAGGAGATGGATGATGTTACTCTGGAAGGTATTAATGGTTGCCATCAAGCAGGTCTTTTAGCCTAAACATGCGGAGAAACTGAATGGCTTTTTAAGTAAAAACACCTGGAAACAACAGGAAGCTATCATCCCAGGAACTGGGCTTAATGGTGAAGTCTGAGCAATGTCTGATGGATTTCGTAGGGACTAGCTGCAAACAGGGGGCCAAGGCTAGGGGACTGTTGGACAAACTGTGTGAGGGAGAGATCATGGATTATAACCTGCAAACAGAAAGACAAATAGTTCTGATCATGGCCTGGAGAAGAAGCAGACAGAAAGGGCTCCTTGGACACATGACTCACAGGAGAGGCAAACTTGGAAATCAAGAACAAACAAATAGCCTGAGCTACTATATTCAGGAAAACAAGACACTGTGTACAGTCTTTATAAATAAATGGGACTGCACCAATAAATGTTACCCTCTATTTCCCCATCTAACAGAAACAAATTGCAAGACCCCAAATACTAGATCCCTCATGGGGCTTAATGTCAACAGAGGGGCTCCCATTTCCTCATATAATGTGCAGGTTAACCAAAGACAAGCTTTCCATCTTAACGAAAAGACATGAGGCTCCCTAAACATGAAATGATAAAGTCATCAAAAAAATTTAACTTCCTGTTTGAAATGTTGCCATTATAGTGGTTTCACTTGGGTGTATATCATGTGCTACTGAGGGAGTAATAGGAAGAAAGAGAATGTACAAGTGACTGAGCTGCTTAAACCCACCAGGCTGCCTTGTGGTGCAGTCTATTGTAGGTCTTTCAGGGGGTGGGGTCAAGGTTTCCAGCCCACCATTATCACCATGATACTCTGGATACTCACTGCTCTCAGCATCATTCAAGTCGTTGATGTAACAGGTAAACCATTTTGATCCTCTCCATTACATTTTTTATTATTTTGGGACTATAAGGGCAGCTTTAAATGCAAATATCCTACATTATATTGCAATTGGATGCATGGGAACTGATATTTCATGCTGATAAAACGGATACAAATACAACTTTTTAAAATCACGGTGTTCTCCAAATTTGGTCTTCAGAATTTCTTTTTATTTAACCTCAGTTAGGACATGTTTTGAAATGGCATAACATAGCCTAGGGTACATTTGCCTTCTGGCATTTCTTAATTTTGAACATTGGATAGCTTTTCTTTATTTTTGGTATCAAAATGGTTTTTATGAAAGTGATTTCCTCCTTGCATATTTTTGCAAGCTCAGGAGTCCAATGGGCATCCCTAATTGTCCTGTGAGTTGACCCCAGTCAGTAGGACTGAAAATGAACAAACATAATAAGCAAAAAAACAGTTGCTTATTGAGAACAAGCTGTTTTTTCCACAATCAACTGGTGCATATTAAAACTTAATCTCCCTCTGAAAACAAAAATGATTATTTGCCTATTTAGAAACCCTGAAGTGTTACTGAAACTTTTTAGAATTTCAGTTGTTGTGGCTGTGCTTACTCTGTCTTATTATCACCTCTACAATGCAGCTTTAGTAACTTCGTAACTGCCAGATCTTTTCACGGGGTATATCAAATGCCAAGCAATGCAAAAGATGATATTTTTTGCTAGGATAATTTCAACTCAAAGTATTTCATATTGTCAGGTCTACTCTGTGTGTCAGCATTTTGTATATTTACAGGAAAAAAGAAACACAAATCTATTGTCCTGCACTAAACTTGTTCAAGTTCTGTAATTCTTAAGAATTCATTTCCTTTTTTCCTCCTTATTCCTCTCCTGTTGTTATAAACTCCTTCTTTGAAACATCATAATTATTCCCCCAGCAGGCAGCTGTGCTAGCAGAGATGACAGTGACTACAGGAAGGGGACAGCAGCATGAGGTGTTGAACAGTTAAAAAAATATCCATGAGGTGTCAGCAGCTTTTAAGCAAATCTTTTGAATTGTGGCATGCTGTATATAATGAAATATACTATGTTATATTATATAGTTTAATAGTACACAAGCACACTGCCTGTGGCCATGATTAAGTATTTCACTTGTTATAATAGCTTCTTTGGGACTACACAAATGCTTAAAGAAGCATATATGTTTGAGGCTTATTCAGGTTCTGATTTTTTGCTCGTTTCATCTGCACTTTAGCTCCTAAGATTATAGAGGCTTAATAAGTGCACAATATTAAAGTTGATCCTAAGATGAGAGAGGCTTAATAAGAGGTCAGTATTAAGAGTGATCCAAGTTTTGCAGTCAAACATCCATTAAAATAAATGAGAATGCTGTCTGCTTAAAAACTGCAGAATCTGTTCCATTTTCTTACTGAAAAAAACCTACCTCACAGGATGCTTCACCTAAAATCATAGAAATGTAAGATTGGGGTTGGCATCTCAAGAAATCCTTTACTATATACCCCTCCTCTGAGGCAGGATCAAGTGTACCTAGACCATTTCTGGTGTGTTTGTCAAATACTGGACCTGAACCATAATCTTTGTATTAGCACCATTATTTTAAAAATTTTTCTTATTAGACTTCCCAGTTGGAGAATTATTTTACTAGACTAACAGAGAAGCAGGTGGTTATATTTGTCTATGCAGAATATATTTTGTAAATACACTATGGATTCCCACTACCATATAAAGCACATGGTCTTACCCTTGTACTATAGGAAAATTGCTGGCTTACAGTTTTTCTGGGTTAAAAAGTGTCCTCTGACTGGTATGTTGAATGATCTCTGGTGTTTATACAAGGTAAACTAAATTACCCAAGATTAGGATGACACTAATACGTTTCCTCTTCTCTGAATAGATCAAACTCCCAGACTCAGCAAACTGAAAAACTGGGTTTAATGAAAGCAGTAGCATATCTCCTTGCATTGACTACCTTTCTTCATACAGTACTTTAAATAAGGGAAGGGAGATTAGCAAGGATGGATATCTGTAGTGACCAAAGGGCCCCACATCACAGAGCAGCTGGATGAATTAGCCATCCAAGAACCCTGAAAACTCTGAATGTAGCTGAGTATCACAGATCAGTAGCCAGAGGACAGATTTACCTTGTTTTCTTATTACTTTCTTCTTTAGTTACCTTCAGTTCTTCCCCTTCCCAAGGAGTTCAAAGGGATCTTTTTCCTGTTCTGTTTTTAAAGAATAACAATTTAACCAATCAAAATCTCCTCCCATATTCTTACTACTGGCAAAAGAATTACAGAAGTCAATGCCCCTCTAGAAAAGGAGAATAATACTCTTTTCATCTCTATTTTACCAATCAAAAGTAGAACATTTTTAAACCCCTGCTGATGAGTCATGGAAAGCTCTGGAAAAAAATATTTTTCCATACATTGTTTTCACTATTTCTGTTTCTTGGCAACACATGACTTCTATGGAGCTTCACTTGCAGCAAGCATGTAAGATCAGAATGTCAGTGTTTTACTGACATTATGTCTGCTAAATATATTCTCATAATGAGAAGTTCTACCCCCTCGCGTGATATAGGTTAAACATGAAGATACATGGTAAACAAAGCTCTAAGAGAACTTACATAGAGTATGTTCATTAATCACTCAGAAAATCTAAGGTCCTGCAGACACTTAGGTAGGCACTCAGTTTTGCTATAGAGAATGTCCTGCGGATTTTAATTATTCTGCTCCAGGCGTTACTGATTTCTGAAATTGTAGACAGTGATTTTTCATAACCATTGCTTTCTGAGTTGGTTAATGCCACATACATTTAGGACCCTATATAGTTATTTATGATTATATAGCACAATTGAAAGTAACCTTTGAAAACAGCAATTATAACCTTATTTATGGGGAAAATACACAAAAATGAAAACACTTTCTAAATGGTTCAGTGTTCCATCATTTTTTACAAAGCCCAAATGACATTTATGAGAAAAAAAATTCTTAAAGACAAGATAAACCTGAACTTTACTGGCGCAACATTTGATCCCTCCAAGTCTTTTAGAGTGCTAGTTTGAAATCCTATTGGTTTAGCTCCCATTGAGGATTTATTCAAATCCTATTCAGGTCACAAATAAAATTAGAAATTGATGGCCTAATCTTATTTTCTCATGGAACTAATACACGTTTTGGCACGGCTGCTTTTCCCCAATACACTGAAACACAAGACTAGGATAGCAGGACTATAGCAGATCAAGATTCTGGAACCTGGATAGAGCTGTGAGTTAAGTGGGGCACTCGCTTGTATTATGGCTCATCTAATGCACTTTGCTTTCATGAGCAATAATTTCTTTTACAATATGGAAAGACACATCAATCCATTGTTATGGAGATATGTACTTTCATATGTGATCTGAGTTGGTGATTTGATACAGCAGAGCCACCTTTTATAGCAGACCCTGTAAACAGGGCTGAACAAGTCACCTGTGAACTTTCCGCATCTACTGACCTATGAAATAACTTTTGTTCACCCTGTTGTTTCTATATTCCATGTGCCTGAATAAGAAACTACAGAACATGTTCATAACATCTAGTTTGCATTGCAGGGCTAAGAGATTTGGCTGTAGGTCGAAGAAGTGGGAAATGATTTTAAGAAATATACCTTAGGAAGGAGCATCAATAGATTCTAAACTCATGCTGTTATAAACACATTGCTGTGGGTGACAGTGCAATTAGGTAAAAAAGTTCAAGGTACTTGGCAATACATACTACGCATCAGAATGAGTCTAGGCTATAGCAGCAAAGTACTGTGGAAAGTTACTAAGGTCATTCAGCCAGTTTAAATGGTACCTTCTGTGGCTTCTCTAATGAGACATTAGATTGGTTTTCTTTGCCACAGTAATTACCTAAAAAGGTCTGCCCCACAGCATCCTCTTTCTTCTCATACATATTTGTGAGAGAAGCACTTTTCTAGTTTGCTGATGCTTTGGTAAGATTCAGCTTAAGGATACCTTCTCATACTGTAAGCTTACTGGGCTGCAAAATATCTCTTTATTATGAGGATATAACCCCCATGACCATGAAGCCCCAATTCCAGGTGCTACTGCAGGACAAATAAGAATACAGATATTTTGCTGAAAGTCTTTTTTCTCCAGTCATCCAAAAATGAGGAAAGACTTCATCCCCATAGGATTCCTAGAACCAAGATGTGGCAAATACAGAATTATTTTGTTGGGGGGGGTGGAGAGAGAAAAGTATGGTATTTTGCACACCAACCCTGATCATGGCTGATTTTTTCCAGCTAGCAAAAATATAACCAGTCACTACATTTTTAAAAGTGCTAAATCCTAACTAAACTAAGTGCAAACTCATTTTAAAACCACACTTGATTAAAATTAGCTTTGTCAGAAAAGGCTGATTTGATGAAACTGAAATATTTCGCTGAAATATCCAAGTTTCAATGAAAATTTGTTGAACTGCAGCGTGGGTCCTGACAGACCTCTCTCATTAACAAGCACTGGACTCCAGGATCTGTGTTTGGGGGATGCCCTTTCTGTGGGAGATTTTGAAAATAGACATTTTGATTCCAAACCAGAAAAAGAATTTCAAAATTCTGGAGTTTCCGATGTAATGAAAATTCTGAGTTTTGGCAGCTTTGATGCTAGATATGGTGGAGCAAGAGGCCAGAATCTTCTGTTCCTGTGCTGGCGAGGAGGGCTCTGCAGAGCTAGTAGGGTAGCTCTCTCTGTCCCATACTTTCCCCTTCCACAAGCAGCACAAAGACCTGGGCGCTGGCAGCCCATTCTCAGAATGGGAGAGTGGTCAGCTTTGGCAGTAGTGAGGTGGCTAGCAATCTATGTTGGCTATGAGGAGGTACTCATCTTACGTATGTTCAGAGTACCAATGGGAGGGTTGCTTTTATTATTCACTCCCTGTATCTGGTGTTGACAGACATACCCACTCCCGTCCTGGACAATTCCTCTCAAGGTGCTCCATGTTTCTTCTACCTTCTATTTTAGTCCCCATCTCCAGCTATTCCCTTTATTTTTCTCAACTGATATTTTCCAACGGCTGGTAGGTCAGTATGTGCAATACTGAAAGCTATTGGTTCCCCTTCTGTGCCTCTAGAAATTCATTGGTGGGTGATGAAGGGAGCTTCACTCACTCTCCTGCCATTCAACTAGGAAGCTGAGGAATGGGAACCGAACAAGGTCTTCCAGACGGTCACAGGTTTAGATCTGACTAGAACTGTTGGGAACTTTAAACCTGTGGAAGTCTACCTGTTTTGACAACACTTTGCTGAGAAAGCTTCTTATGTCCAGTATAACATTTCAAGGGTGGAGGCTTGGCATGTCATAGGCGAAGAGAACCTACATTAAGCAAATGGTCTGGCCACTCACCTTATATATTGAAGACCCAAGTCCAAGTCCTTCCTCTACTCAAGTTAGAGTAGGGATTAAGTATACAGGTGACTCTGTAGTTCACCAGCTTGGAGGCACTGTTGTAAGATGTGAGAGATGCAGATTAAAGACCATGATCTAAAGCAGTCCGAGAGAGAACTTCATCTCTCATCCCAGGGCAGAGCCCTAGCCCCTGGCATATGTGAATGTGCTCACTCTCACTTTCCTTTCTTGTGGAAAACAATTTCCAAAAGTCTCAGTTTTGTCTTTATCTGGACAAATCACAATCACATTTCAAATACAGAAAGCTTTCAAATACAGAAAGCTTGACATTTATATATGACAAAACTAAATTCTCATTTTCTGGGAGCTTTTACATACTCCATTACTCTCTTACTGCTCTTGAATTCTTAGATACCAAAGATAGTGGGGAAGGAATATAGATTTTACAGTAGAGGCCATAACCAGGGGCAGGAAAAGGTGTCCTCATTATCCTTCCCCAGGACTGTGCTGATAGTTCTGCCAGAGCCTGCAAGGACGTTTTAAACATTTTGTCCAAGTGAATATGACCTTCCCTTACCATTCCCCAGTTAGAAGTGACCCTTACATGAGATTTGCTTGGTCATATACCTGCTAAAACAGATTGTGGCAAGTCTTACACCTGGTAAGTTACTCCTTCCCCAAAATGGTTTAGGAGCTAAATCTTCTTTTTGCTTCTTTCCAGAAAAGCAAAGCAAGGTATCAAGTGGGAAAAACCACTTCCCTTGTAGAAGGACTGCTTCATGCACAGTTCTTTCAGTGTTTTGACTCTTCACACATTGTAGTACAGAGATTGAGATGACAGTAAACATTTCCTGTTTATGCAGGAAACCTTTAGGCCAGTCAGATCAAAGGGAATAATGCCTTGATATAAAATATATTTGCAGACCATTACTGTGACAACTGCTAACATGCCACCAACCTTGTGTCATTATCTAGTCCACATAAAATGCTAAGATTTTCCTGCAGGTGCTAGTGAGAGGGATGTATTTAGGGTTAGCAATACCAGGTTCAATCCCATGGAATTGCATAAGTGACGTGTGTTCTACCAGGAAGCAATCTGCCTTTACAAAGGCTGTTTTTGTATTGCAAGGTCTATAATTTGAATGTTTTTAAATGTATACGGTGGATAGAAAAAGCATGGTATATACATATTCCAGGTTGGAACTTTCCTTCATCCAACCATATGAAAAAAAACTGGTGCAACATAACCAGAACGGAAGCTAGGACCTCATGTGTTAAATGGTAAGAAAAGCAGGCTTCCATCTGCACTACTGTCCTTGCTCATTCTCTCTCTCTCACTCTAGTCCAATGTATATTTAACTATTCCTACAAAGTGGAAAAGCTGTAGCAAGAAGATGTCAAGCAAGGCTGACTGTAGACTAGTGGTCAGGGTATTCATTGGTAGAATCATAGTCTCAGTTAGTGCAGGAGCATAGATCAGATGCTCTAATTGTTGTGTGATTTTGAAGTCATATACTATATTTTTAAATAAATGTTTCCATTATCCCACCCAGAAAACAAGATTTTAGTGACACAGCGTCCTGTGCTCAGAGTAGATAACAAAACCGCTACTTTGGTCTGCAACTATACTTATAATGGAACTGGGAAGGAATTCAGAGCTTCGTTACATAAAGGAACAGACAGTGCAGTTGAAGTCTGCTTTGTTTCATGGAATATAACCAAAGGTAACAATACCCAGTCAACTAATGGTTTCACCTGCCATGGTTATCAGGATGATCAAAAGAAGCATGTAATCTTCAACCTTTCAAACATGAATCCCAACCACACTGATATTTACTTCTGCAAAATTGAGGTCATGTATCCACCTCCTTATGTCTGCAGTGACAAGAGCAATGGAACTATCATCCATGTGAGAGGTAAGCCATGAAACCATAATTGTCCAATATTCTTTTCCTTCAGTGCACACCCTAATGCTATAGCCCACAGTAACGTCAGGTACAAAATGGATGTCTCAGAGAAGACAACATTCTTCTACCCCAGATCATATACTGATAATCTAGCTGCTTTTTGTCTATGTTTTTTATCTGTTGGTCAGAATACATGGAAGATGGCTGAGACATGAGTAAATAAATTGAGATTAGGTATTGATTTTATGTACTTGAAGTTTTCTTATTCTCTTTCTTTAAGACGTGCCCTTCCAACAATCAGAACTTCAGTCTACAAGATACTTTTGGCTTATGGCAGCAGCAATTGGAGTTTTTGCTATCTACAGTATAATAATAACTGTAGCCTGTATTCACTGTTCGGTAAGAGAATATTGTTTTCCCTTTCTTTATGTGCCTACATAGCAGCCTTTTCATGCTGTCTTTGCCGTGCTCCTACATAGTCATCTTCCTTTTTTCATTAGTAACTCCAATTTAGGGACAATGATTTAATGTTTTCTGCCTGGTCAGAAACCAGAACTGCAGGATGCAGGAGAAGGGTGAAGGGGATGCTGTCATGGAGGCAGCAGGTGCCCTCTTCTAGGGAGGTGAAACATTCTAGGGAGTGTGATCTTCCATATTGTGTACCACGTAGCTGTATAAGATATTTTTTTTCTGCTTCCAATCTGCCTTTTCCTTGTATCACTGAGTTTAAATATGTATTTTCAACTAATTACAAAGCAACCTGGCTGCAGTTCCCCCTTTTCAGATTAAATCCAACATGTGTACAGGGACTCACTTCCATTGCTTATCAAAGTCACAGTTGAACTAATTGTGCCATAAAGTAGAGGTGTTTGTTGCAAGGAGGCTTCCTAATGATGTCCAAACCTGATCAGATATGGCCATAAGAAAATATAAAGTTAGGTTATAGTACCACTTTGCTCTGAATATGTTAGAGGAAAACTGAAACATGTACTGGTTGTCACTAAGAGAACACCCTTTCCAAAGGAGAATGACCATGCTGAACTCTGCTTCTCTGCTACTTTTGCCTCATAATAAGTTTTTACCTGGGGCTTCTGTAGCTGTTGGTATCCTCTAGCTCAGTGGTTTTCAACCTGTAGCCTGCAGACCCATGAGGGTCTGCACAGTATATCTAAGGGGTCTGTGAAAGATGCCAATGATCAATAAAAATATGCGAATATCCACACTTATAATTCAAAGGTGTATGCACCTCCATTTGAAATTTCCAAGGCATCTGCACCTCCATTCGAAATTTTTTAGGGCCCGCAAATGAAAAAAGGTTGAAAACTATTGCTCTTCATCACTGGTTCTCAAGGCACCCCTCCAAAAATGCTAGCTTTTAGTTTTCACTCATTTTTAACTACAGAAAAATACTAGAGCAATTCTTTTGCAAAGAACTCAGAAAGCCCACAGCAGATCAGAATATTTTTAACACTATGGATTCCTGTTTGAAATCTCTGGATTTATCTTGTTGGGAAATCATTGTTCTAGATCAGTGGTTGGGAACCTATAGCCCGAAGAGCCTTTGGATCTGGCCTGCAGAGCCATGGCTTCAGTAGTATTTGGCAGCAGGAGCGTTTTACTTGCACCATGCCACAGCTATGCAGTAGGGACTTTGGCAGAGGGGCAGCTCTCCCTACACTGTGCCATAGTCAGGCAGCACAGGCTCTGATGGAGTGGGGGCTCTCCCTTGTGCTGCAATGCAGCCAGGAGGCAGGGAGAAGCAATGCAGGCTGCCAGGTCCTAGTGCCCACCTGTCTCAGACCTATGATAGGTCATTTCAGTTCCCCACTGGAAAACATTGCCGACCCCTGCTCTAGGTAACAGGTAGTCCGAGTGCTTAGATATTTGCAGTGCTCTTGAATGTTAATAAAGCTGCCTAGAAATGATGGATCTAAATGAGTTTCCTAAAATGATACTTGTCAGCCAGGCCAAGTCTACTTCATCTGAGTTTTTGAACTCAGCCACAGGTTTATTCTGCTTTTGTACTAATTCTGCCTCTGTGGAGAAAAACTTACTTGCCTCCTTTTTTTCTGTTATAGTCACACATTTTTTCATACCTGCAATATCTGTTTCAGCCATGTAAAAATTGATAGACAATTTTAAATTTATAGGTACAGGAACATAGGACTGGATGAGGCCTCCTGATCCATTGAGTCTTCATGTGTAAAAATCAGGGAATGCAGTGGACTATACTGTGGTATAGCTGATATAATATGTAATATAATTTATCATCACAGAGTTGCATAAATATAATGTCACATTTACTACTTTAAATTCAGAAAATCTCATGGTAACTAACTTGCCCATCTTGTATGTATAAAATGTAAATTTGCCCATGATTCATCTGTGCAACTCCTCTCCAAGTCAATTAGATTAGTACATAACTAAGGCTAGAATTGCAGTCACTGTATCATCAGCTACCATTTTCCAATAAAGCTTATAATGCAGAATAATTTGTGCACATACCTCTATCAGGAATTTAATGTTTGAAACACCATTTTTTTCTGTTAATTTCTGTGGCACCTCAATAGCTGCAAAATCAAGTAAGTGTACAACTGGGGAACTCCATCCCAAAATGGCAGCAAAAATATAACTGCTCTTTATGTATTGCTATTGTTTCAAGGTACTGATACTTACTGATCAATTTTTTTTAGTTAAGTATTCTAGATTTAAAAATCTCTTTTTTGTATGTATATATAGGCAACTCACAGGTATACGCTGTTTTGACAAATTGTTCTAGAGACTAGCCTTCAGTGAGATATAGAAAAGCTGAGAAGGCTGAGTTGGATGTATGCAACTTCCCCTTTCCACTTAAACTTCCAAAAGAAGGAAGCCCTTCCCTGGTCATTAATTAAGAAGGGTTTGACCTGGGTTAGAATAATCTATTAACTAGGCTACTAGCAAATGACTCAGGGCAGTGTTGCTCAACCTCCAGCCCCTGGGCCAAATCTGGTCCATGTGGCTATGTTACATAGCCAGTGGGGCTCCTTGTGGATCCAGAAATTTGGCGGTTGGGGAGCGATTGTGGCATTATTTGCTGCAGCACCCAGAGTTGCCCCAAAACTGCATCTGGTTTGTAGAGTCACTCTCTGGTGAGGTCTGGTGCATGGAGCTGGACCCCCATACTGCATCACATCCACAGACCAATACCAGGTGCTGAACTCATGCTGAATCAGGCCTGTGGATCAACCCCACCTTCAGGTTGGCCCTGCACCACTTATTCAGCCTGTGGGGCAGGAAGGCTGAACACCATTAATTCAAGAGATCACAGATTTCCCCTGTGACTTTAGACAAATCACTTAATTTGCTCTGTGCTTCTGTTCTGAATCTCTAAAATGGGAATAATACTTTTCAGCCCCACAATAGCGTGATGAGGCAAAAGTCTATTAATAATATGGATGGTTTTGGGGCAAAATAGGTAGATAACTAAGATACAGTTCAACTCTACTTCCTTTTCCCCTTGATCAGGTGCTCAAACAGTTTATGAATTGCCTTTTCAGGACAGAGATATGAGGGCAGGACTGCACAGTTACATACAGGCAGGGGCATTTTCTGGTACTCCTTTTTTGCTTACGTTAACTTGTTAAAAAATTTCTAGTAATAAACCAGGGGAACCCCATGCTGATTGCACTTGTTTTTGCTTTTGCTTTTGCTGAGTCATCTATCAGTTAAGAACGTGATTGTCAAAGAAGCTACAATGTAATCCTAGTTTAAGGTAATGCTGAAGTTACGTTCTAGCAGTGATAGTCCAGGAAATAGGCACTAAGACCTGAAAAGTGTACTGTGGTACCCAAAAGCTTGTCCAAGTCTATCCCAAACATGTAGTTGGTCCAATAATTATCCACAAAAATCTTTGCATTATAGTTTAGGGCATTTACTACTTCAAACTAATATTAGAATTCTTTCAGCAGATAAAATGAAAGACTTGCACTAAATCTGGGTAAATACTACAGATTATTGTATATGAATGTTCATTCTGATTTCTAAACCAACTGATTTAACTTTAAGCACATGCTAAAATGCTTTCTTGAATACATATGTTTCCCTAATCCAGGGCCTGAAGAAATAATTTTGAGTGGGGAATATGTTTGATATCACAGCCAACTGTTAACTGAAAAAGAGGAAAAACTAAATTCATTATGAATGACTTGCTTCGTACTAGAGAACACCAAGCTTCTTGCACACCACTTGTTTTGGCTTGTTTTGTTTTAATTATGCATCCCATGCATGAAAAACTAACTGCAGAATTATTTTCACACTTCCCCCACCCTTGCAGCTGAAAAACAAGAAGAACCGAATCCTCCAGAGTGACTACATGAATATGACTCCCCGACATCCTCAAGGCCCAAAGAACAAGTGTTACCAGCCCTATGCACCAACTCGAGATTACACTGCATACCGTTCTTGGCAGCCATGACTATCCACTTACCAAACTATACCCCTGGATATGCTTGTATTCCACCACGTGCCCTTGGACATGGAAGGACAGCCTGCCATTATCTCATTGTGTTTGCTATTAATGATAACAGATACCTACGTCATAGCAAATACTGGCTAACCTTTAATTGGTGTTCCATAAAAACTGACTATTTTCTACAATGGTAGAACTGATGAGCTACAACTCATGTTCAAGCCTGATGGTGGCTCAGGGGGAAAGGTAACATTGGACCCAGTAGGTGGTGTATTTTTAATCTTTGCAATTTTTTGCTCAATTGCTCAGAAAGCCAGAATTGTTGATCTTTCCTAATTACTTATGCCTTATATTTCTCTTTTAACACTTATAACTTGAAGAATTAGAATTATCTGAAATGCAAGTTGGTTGCTGTGAAATAAGGCACCAATCAAACTACTAATGCAAAATTGGTTCCCTGTCCCTTCAAACAGTGGAAGCTCATTTTAAAGTTCAGAACATATGCACAAGAGAACAGGAGAGGCTTCTTGCTCTAGGGAAAAGTCAGCTATGGCAGATCAGTTTATGGTGCAGATCAGCTGTAATGACAGATCGAGATCAGTCAAAACCACTGTACATTAAATGGGTGATTCCTTTTGGTTTTTAAATTCTTGAGCTGGTAACTGTAATGTCTGCAGCAGGTGGATTTGACTAGGGAGAGGACACCTGAGGACACAATTCCATGCAGTAAGAAAGTGATTGACCTGAAAGGCAGATCTAGAAGAACCAGGGAGGAAAAAAGATCTGCTGCCATCATGAAAAGCCCCTTTTGAACTATGATGGCCTACAACAAAGAAATGCAAGGACTTGAGTAAAATCTTAGGGAAAACTGGTGAAAAAAATATTCATTAGAAAACACTGAGGCCAGATTTTGAAAAAAAGGCTCTGTATCCAAAGTGAATCAAATTTACTGAGGTCTCTTGCAAATCTGTCTACTTCTGGAGCCCAAATAGGACGAGCTTTTTAAAAAATCTGAGCCCTATAATGAACAATAAGATCATTTGAAAATCTTCCCTTATGATCTCCCAATTCTCACTGTGGTCTACAGGAACCTTGAAGGAATATGTTCCAAGTGGGGGATTATGTTCTTATGTAGACAGTTCCTTAGGCACACTCATGCAGGAATAAAACAAGCACTAGAATAAACCCTGTTCTGCAATTCCTGTGTGACAGGTTTCCATAAGCAATGCTCACAAAACTCTAATAGGGTTAGTTCAGCAAAAAGTCCTTGTATTCTTGGAAAGAGACAGTCTTCTATCTGAAGTTGAGCAAAAAATAAGAATTTCCAACCTGTGGGAAATTCTGATAGTTCAATTTTGTTTTCATCCTATACCAGGACAAAAAGTTGAAATTATGAATTTCTTTGCAGAAAAAAAAAGAAAAAAAATAGAATTGGGAATAGAGAAACAATTTGCTTTGACAACTTTAAAATGAAACAGAGTACCATGGCACATCTCCAAATAGAAAAATTCATTTGAGTTTGTTGAACTGACCCAAAACACTGCATATAAAACCTTGCTGCCATGCATTGCTTTATGAGAGTTATAGAGCAGCAGTCTGATGCCATCTTTCTCCCTGGGCAGACTGCAACTCCCATGATGCATCTGCCATCATAGTATTTGTGCAGTCATATGCATCACACTCCTTGGTCAGAAGGGAGACTGTACTGCCTTACAGGTGATGTGGTCAGGTTAAGGAGAGCAGCCTACTAAGAAAAATGGGGGCTTGAACTATAATTTTCATTAGGCAACACAGGACAATAGGCAGTGCAATAGCAAGGGGGGGTGGGGGGCGAGCAGGGCGACCACTCTGGGCACTGATGTGAAGGGGTGCCAACAGGCACTGCCCAGCTGGGGAAGGGCATGGGACAGAGCTGCAAGCGGCTTGTTTGGGGAGGTGCGGGGATGGGGGGAGGGCGGCTCCTGCTGTCGCATGCACTCCTGGGCAAGCATGGGGGGGCATGTGGCCCCCAGATCTGTGCACAGGGTGAGGGTGGGCGGCCACTGCAGGCTTTGTCCTGGGCACCAAACTTCCTTGCCACGGTACTGACAATAGGGAAATGCTCTTTAATACTGAACTGACCCTTAAGGGTAGGGACAGACATTACATTACATATAAACTGGTTTAAGTGATCAGAAGCTGGTTTAAACCTGTAACAGAACAGACATTCAGTGCATATAAACCAGTTTGAAAATGGCTGAAACTGGTTTGAGATAAACCTAGTTGAATGTAGTACCAGACTTAAATGATTTGGGTCAAACCAGTTTATGTAATGTCTGTCCCAGACCCTTTGCTGGTTTAAGCTAAACCAGACTCCCCCAGCATCCTGGCATACTCTCTGGGCTGGATGGGGCTCTCTCCTTCACAGCAGGGCTGGCCCCTCCCCTCTGCTCCATGGCTGGAGCTCTGACAGAGACTTGCAGGTTCAGCAGGGGCTGCTTGCTTCCCCATGTCCCCCTTCCCCCTCTCACCACTTGCTGCTTAAACAGAGATCCCTCCCTCTTCTCTCCCACAGCACGGACCTAGCCAGCATGTGGTATGCTAGCTAATACTGTGTAAAGCAGATAGGACAGCATAGATTTAGGGCTTTTTAGAGCTAATCAACAGCTCAGCCGGTAATGTCCCTGCAGTCCTTCCTTTGGAAAAAACTGTTTAAGAAGAGCTTGACCAAGGCCTTTCTTTTCTGATGGGGTGGTAAATGCTGATAACAGAGCTGATAAATGCTCTGTTATCAAGGAAGGGGAAGGACCCCTCCTTAATCACAGTGTTGTGCTGGGGCCTGGCCATGCCCCCCTCAGCTCAGCCCAGTGCTTTAGCACCCTCCAGCTTCCAGCCTGAGCCATTGCAGGCATATGCCAGCATTATTTCAGTTCAGGGGGGATGTCTGTACAGTTACAAAGTGATTTAGCCTAGCCAGGTTAGACTAACCTGCAAAGATTGAATCAATTCAGGCTCAGGCTTTTTGAGTATCTGTCCCTAGCCTAAAAGTTTTATTTCAATTCATTTTAACTGAAATATTCAGATTTGGACTGACCCACTCAAAACTAAATATTTTGGTTTTGTTTTCCCCAACAGAAATGAAAAACCTAACCAAATTTTAAATTTTCCTGCTTATAAGATTGATTTTAATAATTATGAGATAAAGTTCTTGACCAGGTCTAATTTCACCCTTTCTATTTAAAATTGTTCAGGGTTAATTGCTTGGATAAGTCACAGGAGCAAGGCAGGAATGAGTCTGGGGTGTTGAGAGTTATAGTCCAGTCCCTGTTTTTTTCATTGCTCTAAGGCAGCGGTTCCCAACCTGTGGTATGGGTACCACCAGTGGTACACGGACAACCTGTCAGTGGTATGTGCTAACAGATTATAATTACTTTATATGACAAAAATTTACTTAAGGTTGAACTGAAAAATTTGCTGGTGGTACCTAAGGTTCTGTTGTTTTAAATTGGTGGTGCGCAATCTGTCAGAGTTCAGGAACTGCTGCTCTAAGAAGAAGCAAGCTGCACTGTTTCTTTTGCTGAAAAGCCTACTTTCCCTTTTTGAAGTGGCCTCAGTGTCCTAGCTGGTGCCCTTGAAGGTGGGAAAGGCTAAGCTCTGCCTATCCCTTGCCTCTGTCTAACCACATAGATGCAAATCAGGAAGTAGGAGCCCACTGGTTACTCTTTGCACTGAGCAGGACTTAGCCAGGTGAGCAACTTGGGCAGACACAAGGTGATTCTTTACTCCCAGTCTGTGATAATTTCACCAATGTTAACATATCACCACTGATGGCATCATTTTGCTGACCTTATAAGCAGACATCCTGTAACTTAACAAATGCATCCTCTGGTTAGAATGTACTGTGAAAATAACATCTTATACTTTCCCACCAGTATAAGGTGAGGTGCAAGTGTGTACAGTAAGCAATTAAGACAGAGGGTCAACATTTCTAGTTTACATTGCATATATATTTTCATACTCTAGAACTAGAGTGTCTTTTTCACTGGGTCCACATACCTAGGAGTTTTAGTGTATTTTTTGTAATAATTCTTTAAAATTGTTAAATAGATATAGTAAATTAATTTTCAGCATTTGTTAGCAACTAGTAACTAATTAATTTGTTATAAAAAGAAAGTATTATGTTTTAAAGTAAACATTGGCATAATTTATTTTTCTCTCCTAAAGCTTCACTGGGTTTTTCAGTTGACATACAGACATGGTGCCAGGATAGTATCATGATTTAGAGAGTGTTTTGTAGTTCATGTCTAGGTATTGAGAGAACTGATTGCGTCAGTGACATTTAAGCATTGGAACCTAAGTGGCCAGTTTCTGAATAAATGTTAATTCATATGGCTGATCAAAAAAGAGGAAACAATTGATGTAAATACATGACAAAAAAGTGCATGGAGCAGCGGGGG